TATATATATATATATGGACTTGATATGATATAAATATTATAAATCATTAAAAGCTATTTTTAGACATCTATATATTTTTAATAACTTTTTTATCGAATAATATTATTCTGCTACATATTTTAATATTAAGGTTTAAAATACACAAAAAAATAACAGAATTATATTAATTATCAGGCTTATGGTTGGAACAAACAAGAGAAAGATTTGGTACTCAGCTCGTTTTTCTGGGGCTACGTGGTGACACAAGTGCCGAGTGGCTACTTGGCCAATGTCTGGAGTGGTCAGAAAATTCTCTGCATCGGAATGTTTGTCTGCGGAATTTTCAAAATTATTACGCCGGTCGTCGCTCATTATGGAGGTCTGCCGGCTGTCCTGGTTTGTAGGGTAGGCATGGGTCTCTCTCAGGCTTGTCTATTACCTTGCATTCAAACTCTTCTCGCCAAGTGGGCACCGCCCGATGAAAGAGCACGACTGGGTGAGAATAGATCAGAATCTGCACCCAGTATATTCCAATCGTATCAGGAAACAAATAGTTCGCAGGTTGCTTTATGAAAAAATATTTAAATACGTGATGTAAGTTATAGAATAGAATTATTAAACGCCGACATTCTTTCGATTAAATATGAGAAATAATAATTGATTAAAAAAGTTACTGAAATATTGCTAAAAATTTCAAAAGATTATTGATAAACGAGTAGAGCGAGGAACTTCATGCGAAAAATAAATTTTACAGTTCTATCAATTATACAGTATAACAACTAATTGTTTCGCTTATAGTAATATTGTGAATACATTTTCGTAATTAAGTTAATCTAATTTATTCTCTTCCTAAGGAACATTCGCTTATGCGGGTGGTCAGTTTGGTACAGTGATCGCTATGCCGATTGCTGGAATTCTCGCAGAATCGAGTGTTGGTTGGCCCAGTATCTTTTATCTATTCGGTACATTATCGATCATCTGGAGCGTAGTATACTATTATTTGGGAGCAGACGCACCGTCCAATCATCGCAGTATTTCTCAAGCAGAAAGGATGTACATAGAAGAACAATTGAGAACAACTGAAGCGAAAAGCGATGATGAAATTAAGAAGGTAAAAATTCATTATAATAATCAAATGACTTTATGCTACATATATATTTGTTTTTTTTTTCAATAATTTTTGGTAAAATAAAGAAAGATTTTCTTTAATTTAAAGTTTAAACATTTTTTTTTCAACTATATTCAACTACTAATGGACAATATTTTTTTAAATTTATTTAACAACTCATTAAGAGCATACATGTAATAAAAGTAATATAATTATTTACATTTAGGATGATTTTGATTTTGATTGATGATTTGACCTTTTAGAAGATGAAAACACCATGGAAGGCGATGTTCACCTCAGTGCCTATGTGGGCTCTCATAATAGTTCACTGCGGACAAAATTGGGGGTATTGGACTCTATTGACAGAAATACCAAGTTACATGACAGGCGTGTTGAATTTCAAAGTTCAGGCGGTAAGCAATAAGATAGTAAAATAAAGAAAAAGGATATTTTTTTCCTATATTTATAGTTTCATGAATTTTTCAAAATTTATTTATCAATTTTTTAATTATCATCTTAATCATCATCATCATTTTAATAACTATAATTGAATATTTTCGTAATTTATTCGTAATTTATCTGTTCGAAATTTACTTGTAATTTATCGAAATTGTTTCTTTTTTAATCACAATTATTATACATATAATATTTTAACTAATTAATTAATTAATTAAAGTATACTTTTCCTTTAATAGGGCGGTATATTTTCCGCTCTGCCATACTTGGCAATGTGGATTCTGAGCTTCCCTATGAGCTGGTTTTCTGATTACGCGTTGAAGAAGAATGTGTCTAGGGCTGTAGTCAGAAAGGTTTCGAACACAGTGGCCCATTGGGGTCCGGCTATAGCCCTGGCATGTATGAGCCTCGCACCCACTGATGATTATACCTGGGCCGTTGTCATTCTTGTCATAGCAGTAGGTCTAAATGCTGGATCTTTATGCGGTTTTCAAATCAATCATATTGATCTTAGTCCAAACTTCGCCGGGACCATGATGTCTGTTACCAATTGTTGTGCCACCGTTATCTCCATTATCGCGCCGTTGATAAGTGGTGTGATTGTGTCCAACGAGGTAATCGTTCAATTTATTTTTCCCGCTTGTAAAATATCTGTAAACAGCAATCTAGTTTATTTATTTCTAAGAATTCTCTCTTTAATTAATTGTGTTTCATCTAATTTATCTATGTCTATTTAAATGTACTTTTTCATCCTTAATGAACTTAATTGCTTTAAGAATGATGAGTTTCTATCAAGAGCTTTCTCGCTTTTCAGAGCAGCGCGTTTCAATGGAACATTGTGTTCTATGTCTCAGCAGCAATTTACTTCCTAGGTAACTTAGTATTTGTGATATTTGGTAAGGGCGAGGTGCAATGGTGGAATGATCCAGAGGCACAATCATCAAAGAAACAAAGAAGAAACGAAGAGAATGAAACGCGAACTTAAGATTTATTTAATTTGATACGTTCTTGAAATTTTGTAACTTGCCATAGGACTATAATGTGTGACTTAAAATCAATTTGTAAATCTGAAGTTAGGACTGGAGTTGATTTATAGTAAATTTAATTTTAAAAAACTCTTATCAAAACTCTTCTTAAAATCGAAATTACGATCAACTACAAAATCATTATTTATTGTCGTCATCGACGAATAGCTGTATATATCATTGTTCCGTCATAAAGTGTAATATGTGTTTTCAATTCTTATTATCCACTTAGACCTATTCTATGTCTATAGTTACTGTTCACTGCCCATTTTTTTCACTTATCATTATAATCATTAATCTAATAATAAAATTTAGACTTATAAAATAAATTTTTACTTACGTTCTTCATAAAAATGAATTTTTAGTCTTTATTTAAAATATTCTACAAGATCACCTCAAACACGCTAAAAAGTTGTAAAAAAGTCAAGTCCTGTAAAAAGAACTTTTCAAAATAGAATAAATAGAATTTATTCTGTTATATGTTTTTTTCGATTTTATATATATATATTTTTTATTTTAATCTAACGTTTTTTATCAGAAGAATAAAAAGTTTTAAAATTATTATAATAACTTATTTATTTATTATTTATTTTAAAATTTATTTTAAATTTAAAATAAAACAAATCCGAATTTGATTATGAAAAAATTCTTTCAAAATGAAAATTTGTCGCGAAAAATATATCATAAAATTTCAATGTAAAAATAATTGTTACAGTAATCATTGTAATATTTATTAGATATTTGTAAAGACACAGATTTTTATCTGTATTTAATATTATAAATGAATGTATTGAATCGGAATAAAATTTCATAGCGACACGAACTTTAAAATTCAAGCATTGTAACTTCATTAAAAAATGAATAAAATTTAAATTTAAATAATCGATTTTAAAACTTAAATTTAAGTTTCTGTGAAGTTAGTAATTTTTACATATGTATAGTACGAGTTAAACAAAATGGAAAACTGTCTTCTCACTTTGAGCCTATCAAATGACTAAACAAAAAAACATTGCAGAAATTTTCGACTTTCTAATGTAAAAGTATTCCTTATGTTAAAGTGTTCCTTACAAAATTATTTTTTTTAATGTTCATAAAATTTTTTATTATCTGAATTAAATGAAAAGAGCATTTTTTTACTTTGATTGTTCATAACGATGTTAAAAATCATTGTACCGCAATTTGAAAAAGATTAAAGCTGAAACTTTGCTCTGTTGAATGGCATAATTGTCAATATTTTAAAAACATATGATACAAATGAAATAGCGCCACTTTTGTTTGGCACAATAATCAAAATGATGCACATGCAGAATACTGTAGACATAAAAAAAAATTAATTTTTCTGTTTTGATGTTATACAATTTCTTTTTATACCTTTTAACAATTATATTATATTTTCTTGATGTATATTGATGAATAAATACGATAGTGAATGCAGTTTTCGCCTTGAGAACGAATCTTTATCTGGTGTAAATACCGGTCAGTGTGATTTTCAAATCATTCGTTAAATATGTTATCTTTATAGGACAAGATCGCGATTATTTATCGATACGCGATCGATTCGTAGTCATGAAATCTCACAATAAGTGGAAAAATAATTCAGACGTAGTCGTTAATTATTAAATCTCTTCTCTTTTATCGAGTTTTAAATTCTTTCAAACATGTTCAAATCATTTATGAAATCATTTATATATTGTGCGCATTAATATTTTTTTCTGATTGCAAAACATCGATATATATATATATATAAAATATAATATATATAAAATCAATACTAAAAATGAAATTATTGATAACTAAATGACTGGTAACAGTAATTTGCTTAAGTTTCCACAATACATCTTCAATTTTTCTTTAAAAAATATATATAAAAAATATATATCTACAGAAAAGTTTATGTAAGAATAGAACTTCGTTTTTCCAAACATGTTAAAAAACAGAACAGTTTAAAATAATTATAGCTAGGATAACTTCGATAATAGGAACTGTTATCGCTCGTAATAATTAGAAAAATGGAAGTCGAGTCGTCAATTTCTTTTTGATTGCAAAACATCGATACACACATATACACACATACACGCGCGCGCGCGCGCGCGCATATATATATACATATATATTTACCTTGCATGACTTGATCTAAATAAAATTAATAAAAGAACAGTTGTCCACTTTCCTTTCATTAAAATATTATGTTGCATTTTGCGCGTAATAATGCGTGATCGTTAAAATATATTATAAATATATAAATTTATAATTTAAAGCAAGAATAATGGATCACATCATATTATTATTATATATAATAATAATACAAATAAGATAAAAAGCATATTGAGAAGAACAGGTGTATAATTAAAGAAATTAATTATGTTCTGCTGTATAATGATTTCAATGTTGAAATATTGTCCGATTATTAATACGACAGCAAGACGTGCCATCGTTTAAGCATACGTTTGAGCGTAAAAGAGTGGGAGAGTCGGTTTTCGGTGATAGTATAAAGCAACGTGGATACGGCCGCTGAATCGTAGTCGTTTCTGTAATTTGCTTCAGTGTCAGCTTCATTAGAAGTTCGCTATCATGGCGTCTCTACGGAGGAAGAGGGTCTCCGTAGTCTCTCTTTCGGAGAGAATGAAAGTTCCACCGAACAAACCATCAGGTAATTAATTAATAATATAAATAATGTGTACGAATAATGTGTACGAAATTATTATAATTTCTGTGTGTGCAAAGAAATATTTTCCTATAATTTAAAAAAAAAAATCACAAACATTTTGTAAATTAATTAAATCAGTTTAAAAAAAATGAAACCCAAAATTATTGAAGATCTTCATCTATTTATTTATGACTTCGTAAAAGAAAATTTTCTAAATTATTTACTATACTTAAAAAGATAAAGATTGCTATTATTGAAGTATATAGTGTCTCACAACTCGTGATTTTAATTTTAAATACGAATATTCCCTAATAAACTTGAAGTAAATATTTTTTTAGCAAAAATATTCAAATTACGTGATAAATTATATAACCAATTATGAGTGATGTTACAAAATTTAAACAATAAAATGTTTATTAATAATTTTAAATGTTGTTACAAAATTTAATTAAATAATTCAAATAAGATAAAATTAATCTCTCGAGATAACAAATAAGTATAATTATAAATTACTGTCAAGCGATTGAAAGCAGAATTTGGATGCAATATTCAAGTATTATATATATTTATATCATAAATCTTACATATATTTCTAAAATCGAATGTTTTGACTCAAATGTTGAATTTATTTATCGCTATTAAACATCGCTGAGGATGACTCGAACTGAGCCAAAACGTTCGATTTTGTAGAAATACATGTAAGGTCTATGAAATATAATTTCTATATATAACGCTCGAATAACTACGTCAAAATTCTGCTCTCAATCGTCTGGCAATAATTTATAAAAATTTGATTAATCTTTTTGGTTATAATTTTTTTATATTATATAAATGTCTATATTATTAAATGTCTTTGAGAATTATAAGGATGAACTTACACGTATAAATGAAGTGCAGATATAAACAGAGTTCTATTTAATAACAAAATCATTTTCTAAATAGAAAAAATCTTTCTCCTTAAAAAAAATTATTTCTTTCTTTTTCATTTTATATTCTTTTCTATTTATTTATTACATGTTGTTATATACTGCAACGTTTTTATTCTTAAATTCTTTACAAAATTTATCTGACATTCAACAGATGTACAAATTCGATTTTCTTTAGCAGTATTAGATTCTTTCGCATTCTTTATCTTCACGCTAATTATCGAGTGAAAAGGGAAATTTTCTTATATTTTTTAAATAATTGTATAAAATGTGAAAATAATTATATAAATAAAAATAAAAATAATGCAAATTCATATATACAATAGAAACAATATAAAAATTTACCAGAGAGAGAGAGAGAGAGAGAGAGAGAGAGAGAGAGAGAGAGAGAGAGAGAACTATCAATTATCATATTCGATAACTGAATTATAAACAGAGATTATAGAACAATTACCTCGAATTATGTTAAAACGTGATGCAAACCTCAAATCAATATTGACGCACCTACCTTATCAAGTTATTGTTCAATGTATATAAAAAAAATATGTTTATTATATATTTATTATTCGCTTCATGATAATTAGAGCACAATGATGCTTCTTGTTATTCTAGAATAAGTGTTAAAAGATATCATCGATATAATTCGATAATTAATAAGAATAAGAAAATTAAAATAATATAATCAATATTATAACAATACTACTAATTAATACATTATTTCTTTAATAAGAGTATTTTTTTCTAATTTACGCTGCAATAAAAAATTTATTTTACTCTCTTTTTCTTTCTCTCGTTGTATTATATTATAATTTTTTGGTAATATATTATTATTTCTTTCTCTTAATCCATCAGTTTTTCTTGATCCACATGATTGATTCAGGACTATCTGAGGAAAACACATTTTGCAAGTAAAAGTTGTATTATATAACAATTATCGATTAGAATTAATCCGCATTCTATGCATTCTTCGGATGAACGGTTCGCTTCTTCGGAATGAAGAAAAAATTCAAACACGGTTACTAAGATTTTATCGATTACACTCGCATACCGGTGATTTCTCTGACGCAACGGGTAATTGTTGTTGGATTTCAAGCGTAAACATTGAGCGATCGGTTTTACTTACGCAATACGATCTTGATGACAATGACATAATTTGTATTCAATTCCGCGTTTATACGTGATGCCCATGTAAACTTTGTCGAGGGCGTAAAGAACATACTACTAATTGTAAAAATAAAGAATATAAATGATTGAAAAATAGATCATTTTTCTATTTTTTCACAGAATTTTATAAAATTATAACATTGATTTCCACACAATGCAGTCATATCTAAATTAAACAAGCGATTATGTAATTTTTTTCTTTTGCAGTGTCCTGAAATTTGCAAATCAAAATATCACAGCAAGAAAGTCCTTGAAAAAATTAAGTAAAAAAGGTTATTTGTAAATTCTTATTTTAAATAATAATTTTTTGAATATAAAGATTTGAATATAGCTAATTACATACAACAATTAAGCAATTATTTGTTTAAATATCCATGAGTCATGCGCGGCGTGTGTTAATGAACATTGATGCGCCCATTTCAGCACATTTATGAGTAAATTCTGGTCTGTAATTGGCTATGTTTAAATCGTTGTATCTAAAAAAATAAATTGCTTAAAATAAAAAAATTTCAAAGAATTTTTTTACTTAACTTTTCAAGAAAACTTTTCAACTTTCTTGCTATATTTTGATTCGCAAATTTTAGAATATTCTTTATATCGAGATAAATTAATTGTTTCATTATTCGATCAATTTAATACATGTATACCTTGAAGGATATAATTTCTCCTTGCAGCATGGTTTGGATATAGACATGGTCAGGTGGGACTCATGGGCTTAGGATTCTTCTGTTGTTATGCTATCCGGGTAACGACGTCAGTAACCTTGGAGGCGATGACCAATGCAGCCAGTGCCAATCCTAATTTCGAGGTACGTATTGAATGACACTGATTCTCTTTTTTATCCTCGTGATCTAAAAGAGAGATACGCTTCTTTTTTCTTTCAAAGGAGTTCCACTGGGAGGAATCGGTGAAGCACATAATCCTCAGCTCTTTCTTCTGGGGCTATACCATCACGCAAATACCTGCCAGCATTCTCACTCAGAGATGGACTGCTCAGGGTTTGTTTTCGATGACCCTAGTCATCTCCGGATTGCTGACTGTCGCCACTCCTATGGCCGCTCATTATGGCGGCTGGCAGATGGTGATCGCCTGCAGGGTAATGTGCGGTCTTGTCCAGGGTGCCGTTCTACCATGTCTGCACACTTTGCTGTCTAGATGGTCGCCGCCTGAAGAGCGTGGTAGACTCTGTAAGTGTACATTAATTCTTTAATTGAACACACACATGCGGAATAAATACTTTCACTCTTATTTGAGTGAAAATATCCTAAATGAGGTAAGAGAAAAGTTTTTGGCATTTGAGTAAATGACGATTCTCGTATTCATTAAAATAAAAGTTGCGTATATAAACGTGGAGATTTTTGTGACATCTTATCATTCATTCGTCGAAGTTTAAAGATATTTGCTTGAATTTTAGGATCAGTTTGTAGCACAGTGCTACACTGATTTTAAAATAATTTTAGCATTTGTACATATTTCGCTGCTTAAATGCATCATAAAATCAATAATTTTGTTTGTTATATTTTATTTTGTTAAGAAACATCACAATTTTTAATTTCTTTCTCCGATTTCAATTTCAATCTGATTTGTGTTCTTTCTTTTGAATCTCAAGCATGCAGTTAGCTATATATATTCGCTTTTGTTTGATACTGCATGCACACAGAAATGCAAATGAATTAGCAGGCACGTCAAATTTGATACGTATAAGAGATAGGAAAAATTCTTATCGTAGTCTGATAATGCCAAATTGATAAGGCACGTCAAGAGTCCCGCGCCAAAAAAGTATTTAAGATTAATATTTTATATATTATATATATTAATATTTTATAATAAAAAGAATTCTTACAATTTCGATTATCCAAGTTTCTCATGTTTCTTTTGATTTTATTTTCATTACTAAAACAATTAAATCATCTATCGAATGGTTCTTCTTTCTTTGAATCTTTGATAATTTTTCTATCTTTCGAATGGTTTTATTTTAATTAATTATATTTATTATAATTTAATTATATTTATTATAATTAAATAAAACCGTTCGAAAGATAGAAAAATTATCAAAGATTCAAAGAAAAAAATAACATTTTTTTCATTAATTAGTCTAATGATAATTATGTTGAATTTTGACTCAAAAGAATCGTGATTATACATTTCACGTATCTCTAGCAACGTTCGTTTATTCTGGCGGCTGGATCGGCAACGTAATATGTTTATTAAGTACCGGCTTCCTCGCGGCATCGTCCATCGGCTGGCCTAGCTGTTTTTATATTTGGGGAAGTCTTGGCGTTCTCAGCGGCATCTGTTTCTATCTGCTCGGGCAGGATTCACCCTCCGAACATCCCAGAATATCTCTCGATGAAAAGGAATACATTGAGACGAGTCTGGGAATAACCGAAATCAACGAGGTAATTCCTTCAATATATTGCATTGAGAGAAGAGAAAAAAAAATAGAAATCTCACATAAATAATCACTTCGAATACACATCAAAAAATTGAAATTAATTTGAAATTTATTAATATATATTCATATAATTAAATAATTTTTGGATTTAAAGAGTCTCAGTTGCAAGTTCTTTAGATTGAAATTTAGAGAAATAAATGTCTTCGTATTTTCTACACGTTGTTCCTCCTCCGTTTTCAGAAACCCTCCACTCCGTGGAAGTCCATATTAGGGAGCTTGCCGGTCTGGGCATTATTGATAGCACAATGCGGACAATCCTGGGGCTTCTGGATGCTGCTGACGGAAATCCCATCCTACATGAGTTCAATTATGCGTTTTGATATCAAGAAGGTTTTTCGTATAGTCATACAGTAAATAACTTCCGTTAGAATTTCATCCTTCGTTTTCTCTCTCTGTCTTATCGAATTATTCTTTTGCAAGATTTCGGAAACCTTGGAATTAGCACTCGGATAGAGTGCTAATCGCACATATATTTCTACTTTGAAAATCGCCGCGTTTGGAATATTAATTAATAATTCGATGTATATGTTGACAAGATCACGAGGGAAGAATGATTAATATGCCACGTGAGACTTAGATCGATTCAAACATCATGGACATGAACATTTAACTATTCCGATGTCGTATCGTTAATGAACGAGTCAATGACAATTGAAAAAGAATTAATGAAATATCAAGATATCTCTTATTGCTTAACTCTGCATATAATTATATTTTTTAGATAAATTTTAACAAATATATTTTTAAATATAAACTTAATACAACACTTTCTCTTTACGATGTTAAAAATATCTATTCTATCTCTTCTATTGAAAAATATCTCTTCTATTGACATTAAAAAATTAAATTCTTAATTCTTATTAATATGAATTATTCGACATAAATAAGATATCGCTTTAAAATCAAATCTATATAAGTAAATCAACTGAATATATTAAACAATTAAGTAAAAAATATTTTATAGTAACATTTCATTAAATATTTATTAAAATAGCATCAACTAATATTAAGTGTGGGAAAAAGTTCGTGGCGTTTTTTTAATGCCATCTAATGGGAAAAACGCCATGAACTTTTTCCCATACCTAATACTATGCATTTTTGATTGCACAGAATGGTATGATGACGGCGTTGCCCTACTTATCGGCGTGGCTCATCAGCTTTCCGATCAGTCATATATCCGATCTGTGCATCAGAAAAAGAATCGTGACAACGAAGATGTCCCGAAAAATTTGCAATACAATTGGTCATTGGGTGCCAGCAGCCGCGCTGATCGGGTTGGGTTACGTAGGACAGGACCAGCCGGAATTGGCTGTGGGTATCCTCGTCATCGCTGTGTCGTGCAACATCGCTGCTTTTTGCGGCCATAACATTAATCACATGGACCTCAGTCCGAACTTCGCTGGCCCGCTCATGGGATTTACAAATACTATTGCATCTGCCTGTGGCATCCTCGCACCGCTGATCGCCGGAGTGATCATCAAAGATTCGGTTTGTGACATTATAAGATTTTATAATTATTTGCATTGCTAGTTGTCATAAATTTAATGGTGTCATACATTTAATGTCATCATCTCTCCTGTTTAGACCAACATATTGCAATGGCGAAGCGTATTCTTTCTGTCGGCCGCAATATACACGGTAGGCAATCTAATCTTCATCCTATTCGGCACCAGCGAGGTGCAAAAGTGGAATGACCCAATTGAAAGCAAGGATAGTGTTGTGCGAAAAGTATCGACAGCGCCGGTGATCATCACGACAATACAGGAAAAGGAAGACGAGAGAATTCCATGATAATCCATGATAAAAAAAAATAGAGAAACGTAATATTATGAAACAATACTTTGTTTCCTATTTTTTATATTTTATTTTTCAATTTATTTATTTGCGTGGATGTGTGATTTTTTTGTGATAATTTCTGAATGATTGATAGAATATTAATATTATCTAAAAAAAAGCGTGTATATAATATATATTAAAATGCCTTGACTAGAGAAATTGCATATAAATATCGAAAAATATATATACACATATATATAGAATTCATGTCGAATGCGTACATATTATAGGATTTGCCAGAACAATTTTTTTTTTAATTTCCTCAAAAATATGTAAGCAAAGAAATTAATTTTGTGTAATTAATTTCTATTCTAGATTCGGCGATCACACAAATTGCTTGTATTAAAAAGCTTAGAATTTCATTTAGATAAAATTTTTAATAAATTATTAATACATTTCATGTAAAAACGTTTAGTCTTATATAAATAGAAAGACGGGTATAATATATGTCTTGTATAAGAGAGAAATTCAATATATCAAATCTATCTAATTGTAAAACATTCATTGATAAAAATTTGATAATAATAATACAAAATTGCTTATATATTTACATCTTGATTATCTCAGTCTTCTTTCGAATGATTTTGCAATGCATTAGTCCGAATGGTGTGGCCGATAAATATCGCGCCGATAATCGTTGTCACTAATGTGACACAAGTAACAAAAAGCGAGAGAGAAGAGTCGCCGATTGGTATCTGCCAAACGTAGTCGCGATTGTTTGACATACGATATGGAATCTCACGCCACTTGGCTATTAGTCCGACACATGGTTCACATAAGTCTATTTTAGATACTCTGTAGTCTCTGATCCTTTTCCGACATCCCAGCAGCAGCTTCACTTCAGGCAAAGTCACATTAACATAATCACCTGTTTCGTGCGCATATCGATAACGTTGGTGAACGGGAATTGTTAAACTGGAGGATGACGAACTTATGGATGCGCAAGTTGTCACATTCTGCTGACCAGCCTTCTCTGCGAATAATTCAATGTTGGTCTCGCCAACAAAGCATATGATATTCTATAATATTAATATTGTTAATTAATTAGATGATTGCTCAAAGAATGATATTATATTTATATCTATATGTATAATAAAATATATATGTATAATAAAATAGAATATAGATATATCTAATATGTACATGTATTAATATAATATAGATTTTTTTAGATAAATATATTAAGTTATTACTCTCTATATAAGTTACATAAATTTAAAATGTATGAATTACAGTAAATTGATTATATAAAATTATATAAAATTAAAATGTATGAATCATATCAAATCAATATGAACATAATAACTTTAAATTTGTAATATTTATATAAAAGATAATGTTAATAAACATCTCTTTAATTTTATATTAATGTAATAATATATTAATGTAATGTTATATTAATCAAAATTCAACAATTTTACAAAATAAATTAATAATTTTATACATATAAAACTTAAAAATAAGATGATAAATTTTAAGATTTTAAGATTCGTGATTATATATTTTTCAAATTACATTAATTAATAAACAATTAAGGAATATACCGTTCCTCTTCTTCTCATTTCCGCTATTTCGTCTGTATTGACATACAATGCTGATGGTAATTCCATGTAAATAGCAGCTTGACAGTCATTCTGGGTAAAATTCTTGAAGTGTATCCGAAAAATCAACGTTCTGCCAAAAATAGAGAAGTGTTAAAAATTGCACATGGACTCTGCTCATTTGTTTACACAATAAATTACAGTTTCTAACCTATGAAACCCGTTTCCTTCCACGTCAAGATCGATCTCGGCCTCGATTGCCGCATAAATCTGCATGCGAAGTGTACACAGGAATAAGGCAACGATAATTCGCAAAAAATTCACTTCGCGGACGCGTGTTGTCATTTTAGATCACACATACTTTTGACGTTTTTGATGTTTACGTATACATATGCATACGTGAGATTTTCCAGCTATCATTTGATCTGTTTTCTCTTGCTGCACTAGACTGCACTAGAAGTCTCTTTCTCGCTTTCGGCAAATATAACATACACCTATTTCACTTTAAGTTCCAAAAGTACACTGGTTCAGCCACAGAAAATCTATGTTATGCTCAGTTTGCAAGCGTCTCTCTTTATTGGCCGTAACCATAAGCCGTAATCAAAAATTGATCAATCACTTTTGAGTATTCACTTCTTACAGTCAAATGGGAGGGGAATATTCGACTGTGGCCTAGTTTCGAGGGTTTAAACTGGATCAGAATATAAGAACCAACTAACTATAGTTGAGCATTCCTCTGTCGTTCGATTGTAACAGGGGAATACTCGACTGTAGTTGGTTCTTACATTCTGATCCGAATTACCCTCGGTGGAAACTAGTGCCCATATTCATAATCAGGCCTTATATTTAAGGCTTTCTTAAATTTCTCTTCAGATACTGTAAGAATTATTTCATTGGCTGAGCATCTAAAGATAAATTTAAAGAAGCCTTAAGTATATGGTATGAATACGAGCATAGGTTAGTGTTACTAATCCGTACAAATCAAAATCGTGTTGCCTAGGAGTTTTTGTTAGTACCAATATTTTCCAGTTTTTCGGGAAAATGTCATGTGACCAACATTCGGCGACATCCATAGAAAGAGACGACGGAGATTTAGAGAGAGTCGCTTGTAAACTGGACACACTTTGTTTTTTATTGCTACACTTTGAACTGATGCAATAAGAAGTGAAACAAATGTATGTATAGTTTAGAAAGTGCAACAATAAAAGAACAGATCTCATGTTATCCTTTTCACTATGCACTAGATTACACAACTCTCTTTCTCGCTCTTTCAACAAATATCGAATATATATCTATCTTATTTTAAATTCCAAAAGTGTACACTTGTATACTTTTGGAACTAAAATGAGATAGGTATATATTCAGAAAACAAATCTATATATAATTTCTAATATAAATATATAAAAAATTGTATATCAGTTCAGATGCACTTGTGACGGTGCGTCGTATTTACATATATTAGATATTCATGCTTACGACTGTGTGCGTATTCTGTCATCTTTCTAGCGTGAATAAAAGAGAATTTGCAAATAAAGCTTTTGAAGTAGTAGAGTGAAGCATGGAATATGTGAAGTGTCGATTTGTGCTATTTATTTTACTTATTTATATTATTTGAATTATCGTATTTGATATTTTTTTTTATGTTCATTAATACATATTTATTACTGTAAAATGGAATAACTTTAATTTGATCTAAATCTTTAAAATATATATTGGCTGTGTGTAGCAGAACGTTTATCTTGTCTGTTAGAAATTTTCTTAATTCGCTGATTGGATTATACTTTTAGATCTAGAAGAATGACCCTATTTCATTAGATAACAAAAACAAATTCAGTTACAAAACTATTATTCTGTTGAACGCAGCCATTATTAAAATTTAGGCCAAAATTATTCCGATTTTGATCTAATAATTAATCAAATTTTTAGAGCTAATTAATTAAATTCTGGCAATTCTTGAAATTTTAGATTTAGTGTCATCCAATTATGTATTTCTAATATTTTATCAAATTTTGAAGGTTTAGTCAATTGTTCCATCCTTTGGTAAATTCTACCTATTAGGTAAATCTGGTAATCCGCGCATGTGATTAGCTAATCTTGCTACTTACCCAACAGGTAAAATTTGACAAAAGGTAGAACAACCGGGCCTTAAACAGATTGCCTCAGACAAAGATTTAACGATTCTTGAAATTCAATATGTGCCACGTTTCCATTAATTATTTTTTTCTAATATTTTATTTTTGAAAATATATTTTTGTAATTTGCAAGATATTGATTAAAGCAGATAATTAATAACAGTTAATAAGATTACGACCTACTTTATCATTAAATAAGTATCAGTCCTCGATTTACCGATATGAAAAAATTACAAAAATAAATAAACTTGGGGTAGTTTGTGCTCTGCAAAATAAAAGAAACAGGGAACAGAGAACAGAGAATAAGAATTTCAACCTATCAGAAATCATGTATTATGGAATACACAGTTTCTGATAGGTTGAAATTCTTATTCTTTATTCTCTGTTCTCTGTTCCTTTTATTATGCGAAGTCCCTTAGAGTAGTAAGACATAAAAAATTAAAACTGCAAACATCGCAATTTTATAAATTGTAATTATTGTTCTGTTTCGCTATATGTTATTCTTCTTTGCTTCTAATAGACAAATTCGATTCCGGTGTGAATTTCGCATTAATAGTTCGCTGATCTCTTCGTGTTGTGGTCTTGCAGTATTGTCAGGTGTTGTTTCGCCGCTGTCTCGGCATATTAATTGTTGTATGTGAACGAACGGATTATTGCCGAGGATCGGGATGCCGATAATGAAATGACGTGCACAATTAACGTGATCGAATAATGAGAGAACGATGAGAGAACGATGATCTCAGCGTGCGGTTTGTCCCGTTGATGTCGATCACAAGTGGATGTAAATTCGCGCGCTCTGATCTAAATAAGGTTAGATTCACAAGATAGTTTTGGTAGTTCGCGCGCCTTTAATCCTGCAAAATAAAATCATGTCGTTTCATTCGGAGAGGACGAAAGTGGAAATCAACAAGGTAAGTCGAAAGACGAAAGTAATATACATTATATAGCGTATACATTATTCTGGAATAATAACAGAGATTGTATATTATATGTATAAAAATTGAGATAAACTTTTGGAGATCTTTGTTTATTTGCAGTTTTAACATTTTTATGTCATTATATTGAATGAGCTTTATTTAAGTTCTCCTTTCGATGAACTACAAATAACAACAACATGTAAAGTCTTTCTCCGTCTTCATACATACATATTCTTGATGATCTTTACTACAAAGAATTGTCCAATGACAAATCTATAGGTCTATTCTTTTTCCATACACTAGAACTTCTTGCACGATTCATCTTTATTCTTTTTACATCAGAAAGAAAAAAGCAGAAGATAAATCATGCAAGAAGTTCAGTCCTGAAGTAAGGAAAAGAAGAGACCTAAAATTCTATTTAACTCTCTAATAAAAGATAAAAAAATCTTTGTATTTCAAATAGTTTGAAATTCAATTATGCAACTGTTGTTTTACAGATGAACGACATAGACATCACATCAGACTTTACTCGCCTCAAAGTATCTGTATTGGAGAAGGCGTCACGTATATCAGCAACTACGAAAGTGGATCGTATCACGATCGGACCTCAATCGACACTGTATGAAGAAGATTCTAACAAAGCAGACAACATTGAGAATGAGCAAAATTCCTGTAACATTAAAAGTCCACAGATAACTATTATTAGTCCCAAACATAACATGGTGGCTACTTCAAACGGCATTCATTTCTCGGTCAATAAGATTGATGCAGAGAGTGAACTGCAAAGAAAAGAAGAAGTCTGGGTATCTTGATTATGTCATACATATAATATATTGAATATACATCTTAATATTATTTTTTATTAAATTTTTACATAGATAGATTTTACATATTTATTTCAGTCAAGGGGATGCCAAAATTCATATCTTCACACATTTATTAAAATACTTGTATAAAGTTTTTGAGAATCTTTAGCAAACTTTCTTGCGAATAACACATGAGCCATGCATTGGCCAATAAGTCATTTAATTTTTCATAAAAATGATTTTCATAATTTAGAAATTTTTAATTGTTTCTCTTTGTCAAAATTTAGAGAAATCTCCGTGTCCTATGAGTTTGTATTTTTTATATAATTTTATTATTAAATAAATGGTATAAAAAAATTCTATGAGTTTGTCTATGAGTAGTAATTTAAAATAAATATAATTTTGGTTATTAACAAAATGTATAAACAATTGATAGTAGACTTTGAATAGACGAGTAATTTGAGATGAATGTTTAACTCTAATGAAATTCTCTGTTGAAAATGATATT